CTTTGTCCAGCAGTAGCCAGGCCACCAACTGGCAAAGCCAAGCCTCGGTGTCATCCCAGATTAAGTTCCCCCAAAACCTGACTGTCCTCCAGTTCCACTCATCATACTGCATCCTCCAGCAGGGTGCTCTGTCAAACAGGGGATAGCTGTGGCTGGGTTCACCAACCCTCTCCCCCAAATGGAGTCCTTTTCCCAGTGTCAGCGGGGGCTGACTGCCATACACCCTCTCATAGCCTTAGAGCAGCCCTGCAAGCAGCCCCTTACCTCAGTTTCCCCTTTCAAGAAGCTTCTTCAATGATTCACACAGGCTGTTGTCCATTCATAGCCTGTCTCAAGTTCTGGTTTTATTAAAATAACAAACTGACAAGATAACGTTTTCAAGTCCCTCCCAAGCCCCTCCATTTACCCTTCTATCAGTTCATGCTCAGGCCTTTCCTGCCTGAAGTCCCAGCTTTCCCTGCTGGAGCAGATTCACTCCCAACTGCCTCTTCGCTCTGCTCTGTTCTCCCTGAGACGCACTCTCCCTGCAGCTTCCTGCTGCTCTTAATGGAGTAATAAGTTGATTCCTGCTCAGCTGTGCCTCCTTAGTAACCAGGGTCGGCTGGGCCCAGGCAAACCCATAAAGGGGCAAGTCAGTCTGCTATACACTGTCACTGGGGTGAACCACCATCCCTGTCACGCAGGCCAGCAAAGTGTGTGTTGTTTTGACATGGCTGGTGGCCCCATCCTGGCTGTGTGTCAATCTGCTTCCTGCATCACCTCGCTATGGTAGACCCAGCTCTCCTCCATCACAGCTAAACCTCTCATCCAGGCCTTCATCTCGCGTCTTGATCACTGAGCATCCTCCTCCCTGGCTGGGACCGATCCCATCTTCTTACCCCACCTACATCTGTCCAGAACCCTGCTGCTGCAAAGATCATTTTCCTGTGACCCCATCACCCCTCTCTGCAAGCTCCTGGATGGCTCCCCTTCTCCACCGCATCACACACAAATCACTCATTGCAAGGCCCTTCCCTGGCTGATGTATCACCCTCCTATGCTATTGAGAGGTCAAGCCCAGCATCCGCTCTGCCAGTAACACCAGCCTTCCTCACCCATGTATTCCATTGTCCCCCGCAACTGGCACCTCCCTGCTTCCTGCCATGTTGCCCCGGTATGGGGAAGGGGGAGCAGCTCCCCTAACACCTGCTAAAAGTTACCTCGTTACTGCTGGTGCTGACAATGGCTAGGAGCTGCTGCTTATCACACTGATCAGAATGGGCTCATTGTTCCCTTGTGCTCCTTCATCATCTGTCTGTATTATCCTGTTGTGTCTAGTCTTGTAGTTAGATTGGGTAAGTTCTTTGGGGCAGACACCATCTCTTTGTGTGTGTGGCTCTGAGCACACTGGGTCCTGACTGGGGCCTCCAGGTGGTCCCACACCAATAATAACAATAAAAATAATGAGACTTCCGGAGACTGCGGTGGGACTGAGATTCTGGGGGACTTGGGATTGTCTCAGAGGGTCCCCAAAATAAATGCAGCATTGCCAACTCTCATGGTTTTGTCATGAGTCTCGTGATAATTGTTTTCCTTAAAGCCCCAGCTCCTGGAGTCAGGTGATGATTATTTCAGCCTTCATTCTTAAAGAAAAAGTAAGTTTCTAGCCCTCCTGGCTGTGGAGGAAGCTTCAAAATGTCATCCCAGCACTCCTAAAGCAGGGGTGGGCAAACTACGACCCGTGGGCTGCCCCCCTCTCAGAAACGGCTCCCGGGCGGGGGGGCAGAGGGCTCTATGCATTGCCCTTGCCTCCAGGTACTGCCCCCCGCAGCTCCCCTGTGCACCCCAACCCCCTTCCCTAAGCCCCGCTGCACCCCAACCCCTGCCCCGTGCCCCCTCCTGCAGTCCGCACCCCTCCTCTGCCCCAATCCCTTGCCCTGAGCCCCTTCCTGCACACCGCATCCTCCTCCCACACCCCTCACTCCCTCCCACACCCCAAACCCCTGCCCTGCATACAGTTTCCCCACCCAGATATGGCCCTTGGCCCAAAAAGTTTGCCCACCCCTGCCCTAAAGGCTCAGAAAGCAGAAGGCAAATAAAAAGAACCCCAAAGCTGTTATTGTTACCGAATCTCATGGTTTTTGGTGAGCCCAACTCATGATTTTTGAACATCTGCAGCTGGCAATATGGTGAATAGCTCCAGGACTGATGGACACCTGGCCAAGTGGCTGCCCAGAGCCCTGGCTGGCAGCAGGGACAGGTTTCTCTGGAGGTTTCCCTCTGCTCAGAAAGGAGGGAAGGATCCTGGCCGATACCCCAGCCCCCTTTCTGTCCCAGGGGGAGCACAGGCCGGGGGTTGGGGAGGGGAGTCCATCAGCTGTGGCCACCAGAGGGCCATGGCCACGGGAGGGCGGCCACTCTCTCCATGACCAGATGATCTGGCTCTTTTTTTCCGGATATTGGGGGCTGAGCTTCCTGGGTCAGAGACGCTGCCGAATCTGTAACAAACAGCTGCTGCTCCCCAGCGGGGAGAGCCCTTCCTTAGCGCCCCTCTGTGTCCAGCTGGGGGGACTTTCTCCGGGGGCTGGAACCAGCCCCTGGGGCAGCCCCGGGCTCTGCCGACACCAGCCCGTGAGCCGGAGCCTGCAGGTGAGGGGAGAGTCCCGGGGGAAAGGGGCTGGGGCCGGTCAGGAAAGTGACTCTGCACCAACTGCCCCTCCTCGCCCCAGCTCCGCTCCCGGGCGGGGTCTGCGAGTCCCAGAGCTGCTGCCCTCCCTGACACCCCCCGGGCTCTGCCCCCCTGAGCGCCTGCAGGAGCCGAGCCAGCTCCGGGAGAGCGAACGCCCCGGGCCGAGCCAGGGACCTCTCCCGGGCAGAGTTTTCAGAACTCGGCGCGTTGGGTTCACCGTGGGAGCTGAGCGGTTTGGAGAATCCGGCTCCAATTGTGGGTGCTCAGCTCTTGGAAATATGCCCCCCGTCTCCCTGCCGGAGGGGTTGGGGAGTCAGAAACTAAAGCTGGGGATAGGAGTCGGGTTTGCCAAATGTCCAGACAACTTGGGAGCTCAAGTGCCAAATCCCACCTTAGGGAATGATACAGACACTTTCTTTCTCACTCTCACGCTGTTTTTTTTCTGGAAGCTGTTTACATAGACAAAGCTCCAGAAACTCTGACCATTAGTTAACCCCGGTGTAACGGGGGTGGACTGGAGAAGAAAGCTGTAACTTCGTAATCAGCTGTAACTTCGAAGAGGGGAGATCCGCTAGGCCATGACCGATCACCCCTAAGTTTTTGGCTTCTTTGACCTTAGTTTAGCACTATTTTGTTTTCCAGTTTTCAGGTATTATAGAAAAGCTCTTTATAGTCCTGTCCCCAGTTACCCTATGTCAGTGTATAAAAGCAATCCCAGGGAGCAGGGCTTTGGAGCTGTGCTCCGGCTCCGCTCCGGCTCCAGGCAAAAACCTTCTGCTCCGGGCTCCGCTCCAAAGCCCTGCCAGGGAGAACACACATCATTTATTTTGTATTGGGGTAGCACCTAGGCCAGGGACCAACTGTTTTGAGCAAACTTGCAGTAAATGACAGACCCTGTCCCAGCTACATTCAGACCCCTTCATTCCATGCAGGTACAGTACTTGGTGGGCTTTTTGATTTAACTGATAGGGGTATAACAAGAGCTAGTGCCTGGAATTTGAACCTGAAATGAGGTGCAGATATTTAATACTGAGGGAAATTAACCCTTGAAACTAGGGATGTGGTGGCTTCTCCATCACATAGTGTCTTTCCATAAGGACTGGGGGTCTATCAAAAAACTAGAGCACAGCCAGAAGATACCAGCCTGATGCAGGAATCAGTGGATAGTATTCTCGTTGCGCAGGGCACACCAGATGGCTATAATGTTTCCTTTTGGCTTTAAAATCTATGAATTTATTAATTTAATTTGATGATTCAAATGCATTTCTGTGCAGGTGACATCTTTCCAGTTAGATCTTTTTACAGCGTATTTAGCAGGTACTTATGCCTTGTGGCATCTTAGAGACTAATAAATTTATTTGGGCATAAGCTTTTGTGGGCTAAAACCCACTTCATCAGATGCATGGAGTGGAAAATACAGAGGCAGGTATAAATACACAGCACATGAAAAGATGGGAGTTGCCTTACCAAGTGGGGGATCAGTGCTAACGAGCCAATTCAATTAAGGTGGAAGTGGGCTAGTCTCAACAGTTGACAAGAAGGGGTGAATACCAAGGGAGGAAAAATCACTTTTGTAGTGCTAATGAGGCTAATGTAATCAAGGTGGCCGAGTTTCCAAGGGTGATTATTTTCAACAAAACTTAAGTGGTCAGAGAGTTCATTATAAAGTTGACGAATACTTCAAGTCACTCTTAGCACTTAGTGCTGGGCCTAAATCACTGATGCTCAGTGCTCTTTGAGGCGTGGCTAATTATTTCAAAGAGATACTGGCTCATCATCCAGATTTGAGCACATGAGAGGAGACAAAAATAGCCTGTGGAGTGGGTCTCAGGAGATCTGGATTCTCTCCTGGCCAAGCGTGTCCATGGGCAAGCTGCAGTATTTTCAGTTCCCATTTAGTCACATATATGAAGTGACCAGTTTATTAAAACTGCTCCTCTCCAGTTCACAGCCCCATAGTCCAAACTGCAGGGCCAGAAGACCTAGCCAGAGTATGAGGCACTCAGATGCTACAGTGATGGGACCACATCAGCACCAAGCTGGATAGCTTTGTCCAGAGCGTGACTCAGGTTATGATGCTAACTTATTAGGTTGCTATTTCTTCTTTGTCTTTGCACTTTTGTTCCCTATTGGAATTGTGTCTGATAGCACAAACACCCCAGGTGTGACTCTTGCTATGGTTTTGGTAAACATTTGTCCATGTTTCAGGATGAAACATTCCTGCATCAGCACAATGATGAGAGAGGAATGGGTTACATTTCAAGGAACTTTTTTGGAGTGACTCCTCAGAAATATGTAATGAACCTTCACCCATTGTCCTTCCCATGAACAGGGTTTCAGTTTCCTAAACCTCAGAGGATCCCTTGGATGGAGCAAGAGGAAAAGCCATGTGTCCCGGATCTCCAGGTCTCCTCGGAAGAGGAGATCCCAAGTGATGCTAGCACAGGTGAGAGATTTCCACAACAGTCCCGTGAGCTCCCCAGGTTCTATCTCATCTCATTCAGGACAAACAGCACGGGTTGGATCCTCATGGCAGACATCGCTCCTCTTAGCTACATAGATTCCAAGGCGAGAAGGGACCACTGTGATCATCTAGTCTGACCTCTTGCATAACAGGCTAGATAGTTCCTAGAGCAGATCAGTTAGAAAAACATCCAATCCTGATGTAAACATTGTCAGTGATAGAGAATCCACCACAGCCCTTGGTAGGTTGTTCCAATGGTTAATTACTGTCACCAGTAAAAATGTGTGCCTTATTTCCTGTCTGAATTTGTCTAGCTTCAACTTCCAGCCATTGGATCGTGTTAGACCTTTCTCTAATAATGAGCTCTAGCAAACATTTGCTCCCCATGTAGGTAATTATAGACTGTGATCAAGTCACCCCTTCACCTTCCCTTTGTTAAGCTAAATAGACTGAGCTCCTTGAGTCTGTCATTATAAGGCAGGTTTTCTAATTCTTTATCCCTCATTCTTGTGACTGTTCTCTTACCCCTCTCCTATTTATCTACATCCTTCTTGAATTGAGGGCACCAGAACTGGACACAAGATTCCAGCAGTGGTGGCACCAGTACCAAATACAGAGGTAAAATAACCTCCTGCTTGAGATATCCTTGTTTATGCACCCCTTTTGGCCACAGCATCACACTGAGAGCTCACATTCACCTCCACCCCTTTTTAGACTTTTTTAGAGTCACTGCTCCCAGAATAGAGCCCCCATCCCATAAGTATGGCCTGCATTCTTTGATTCTGGATGGATATAGTTACATTTAGCCACATTAAAATGTATATTGTCTGCTTGCACCCAGTTTATGAACCTGTTCAGATCTCTCTATATCAGTGACCTGTTCTCTTCTTTATTTCCACTCCCCCAGTTTTTGTGTGATCTACAAACAACATCAGTGATTTCTTTATGGTTTTCTCCAGGTCATTGATAAAAATGTTAAATAGTGCAGGCCCAAGAACCAATCCCTGCGGGACCTCACTGGAAACACAGCTGCTTGATGAGGATTCCCTATTTACAATTACATTTTAAGACCTATCAGTTAGCTAGATTTTAATTCATTTAATGTGTACCATGTTAATTTTATACCGTTCTAGTTTTTTAATCAAAATGTTGAGTGGTATCAAGTCAAACACCTTACAGAAGTCTAAATATATTACATCAACACTACCACCATTATCCTTCTTCCCATCTTCTGGAACTTCCCCAGTGGTCCAAGACTTATTGAAAATCAGCATTCCCACCCATCCAGCTCCTTCCCCTCTGAGTGTTCGGGTGGGATGTGGAAGCCAATTGACTCCCTCTTCTCTTGCCTTGAGGGAAGGGTGGGGGTGGTTTTTCAGTCTCCCCATCAGTTATTTTGTTGTTTTCCCTTCTCTCCTGTTCCTCTTTCTGAGGTTCCTTCCCCACGGCACAGGGACTGACTCCTGTCTGGATTCTCTCTCTGTCCCAGCAGGTGACGGGATGGTGAGTGAGAACGAGGAGAACCTTCAGCAGGAAAGTCCTGAGCCAGTGGAACTGCACAGGTCGGTAGCAGGAGAATGTGAAGGGAACGTTTCCCAAAGCCCTGACGAGGGAGAGGCCTGTGAGAGTGAGGACAGGTCAGAAGAGCAGCAGGTGGAGAAACTAGCTGTGCCCAGTCCCTGGGAGGGCAGCTACCAAGAGCTTGGAGATGCCCAGCAGGCCCTGCGGGGGGGTGGGAAGCAGAACATCTGTGCCGAATGCGGGAAGCACTTCTCCCGGCGCTCGCACCTCATCATCCACCAGCGCATCCACACAGGCGAGAAGCCCTACCAGTGCTCCGAATGCGGGCGCCGCTTCAGCCAGAGCTCCACGTTGATCAGCCACCAGCGCACCCACACGGGCGAGAAGCCCTACACCTGCCCCGACTGCGGGAGGAGCTTCAGCCAGAGCTCCACGCTGCTGACCCACCACCGTCTGCACACCGGGGAGACGCCCTACAAGTGCCTGGACTGCGGGAGGAGCTTCAGCCAGAACTCCACCTTCATCATCCACCAGCGCACCCACACCGGCGAGAAGCCCTACACCTGCCCCGACTGTGGCAAGAGCTTCAGCGTCAGCTCCTACCTCATCACACACAACCGGATCCACCGCGGCGAACGCCCCTACAAGTGCCCTGCCTGTGGGAAGGGCTTCATCGACAGCTCCACCTTCGTGCGGCACCAGCGCACGCACACAGCAGAGAAGCCCTACCGCTGTGCCGACTGTGGCAAGAGCTTCAGCCTCAGCTCCTACCTTGTGAAGCACCGCACCCTGCACACGGGTGAGCGGCCCTACAAGTGCACCGAGTGTGGGAAGCGCTTCGGCGAGAGCTCGGACCTGTTGCGGCACCATCGCACCCACACTGGCGACAGGCCCTTCCAGTGTGCCCAGTGTGGGAAGAGCTTCGGGGAGAGCTCCACGCTCACCCGTCACCAGAGGACCCACCTGGGCAAGGATGCACCCATCTACTAGCCACAATGCTTGGCACAGCCCCAGGGCCACGGGGCAACAGCTGCCCCCCTCAGCTGACTGACTGCAGAGGAGGCAGAAAAGAAACCCCCATGAGATCTCATTGCCCAGAGTCACCAGCTCTATTGATATTTGGTGTTTCTCTTATAAAGCCCCAGCTCACAGAGTCCTGTGTTCATTGCACAAGAATCTCTACTTTCACTTAAAGAGGGGGAAAAAGAAAGAAAGAAAAAGTGAGTTTTTAACCCTTATGGTTGTGGAGAAAACCCAGAAAATATGACTCTTGAGGGCTCACAAACCAGAAGTCAAAGGAAAAAAAAAGAACCACAAATGTATTGTATTGTTGTTTCAAATCTCCTGAGTTTTTGAGGGGGCGAGGGGCCTGACTCGTAATTTTTGAACGCTTTGGGTTGATGATGCTGCGTTGCAGGGCCAGAGCTGTTTTCTATGCCTTACCTAACTTTCTTGATTAGAACAAACAAGTTCTGACCATTATGTTTTCAATTAGTGGACCGTATTCACAAGAGTAACTACTGTAACAAAGTTTTAAATGGGAATTTCTTGGTTTTTTTTATTATTATTTTAAGAAAAATAGTATGTAAAAACATACTTCCCCAAGTTACTTGAATTCTACAGGTTCAACTGGAAGAGTTTACAAACCCCACAGACTGTGCTTGTAACTCTAAAGATCCTGCATCACTAGGAGTGGGTTTTGTATGGTATTGGCATTGGCTTGAAGGGGTTAATAGAACCCTGGTATTACTGTTACAGCATTAAATGGTTAATTGTGGTTTGCTTAAAGTCACGACTGGAGACACCCATTGTAATGACCATCACGAAATGCATTTCATCCTTTTATTAAAGCACACACAAACTATTAGCCATTGGAAGAACAATGTAACGAGGCATGTAGTGGATTCTCCATCAGCCGGAGTCTTTATATCAAGATCAGGTGTCTCTTTCTAAAAGATTTCTGGCTCAATCAGAAGGTATTGGTTGGATGCAGGAATTGTCGGGTTAGACTCTGCAGTCTGTGTTTATGCCAGAAATCAGACTTGATGATCAGAATGGCCCCTTCTGGCCTTAAGCTCTATGAATTGTAAAAAGGAAGTGCCGGATGGGAGTTTCAAAGCCGCACAGAGTATTTGGATGCCCCAGTCCCATTTAATTTAATAGGAGTTGGGCCTCCAGAACCTTTAGGCAGTTTTGAAAATCTTGACCTTAAAGCATTTGATATGTAAAAGGTGAAGTAAAACCTTATATGGGCAGTTTCCCTCATTCCCAATCCCCTAGACCGAGTAGACTCTTCTATAGAACAAACTTTTAGTTCTAGTATTATGGCCTAAAGTCAGTTGTAGCCTCTGACTAGCTGTTGCCACCAAGTGATACTGTTTCTTCTTATGACAAAACAAATGCACACACAGTTGGGAGAGATAAAAATAGCAGATGATAGCACAATGCAGCTTCTTTCTCTCTGCTTGTGATTGAATGGCTGTAGAATCGTGGGTACAGCTGCGCAGCACACAACTTAGCGGAAAGCTGACTGTATTTTCAAAATAAAAAAGCCTGGAGACTGGTGGCAACATGTTTGAGGCTTGTAAAATAATCATTCAAAAGTGCACTATTTTTTCCCCTCAATGTGGCACTGGTGTTGCAACTGCTGCCTTCTGACTGAACAGAGGAATTTTTCAGCATCTGGGTGAGTTTAACATGAAGCCCTGAACTAGCATCATGAACATTCGCGCTGAACAGAAGAGCAGCTCTGATAGCATCGGCTTATTAGCTTTTCTCTTCATTTAAACACTGTTCATCACCTGGAGCATTTGCTCCACTGGCTGTTTGCCTCGGTAAACACAGAGGGACCTCTGCTTCATGCAGTGATACAGCTTCAACACACGTGAAAAACTGGAACTGCCCCAATACATCCAGCATACTCCCCCCATTAGCCACTGCGACCTGGCAGACTTCCCGTAATTGGGTAAAGCATTATGTCTGTTTCTTCCCTCACTCCCTGGTGCGGCTCCACTGACTCCTGCCGGGTTATTCCCAATTTACACTGACTGACAGGGGAACCAGCCCTGGTGACTCCAGTGGGGTTACACCTGATTTACACCAGGATGAGCTAGAGGGAAATTGCCCCAGTGACTCCCAGTGGGGTTGCACCTGATATACACCAGGGTGAGTGGGAGGGGAGTTAGCCCCATTGTGTACAGCTTGCCTTCTTGGTCTGGCAATGCTGGGAGGGTGGAGTTATCCTGGCTAGGTGAGTCGGACTCTCGTTAGGCAGACGGTTGGAGGAGGAAGTTAGGGAAGAGGCAGGAAATCACAGGGAGGAAACTGGCACAGTAAGGAGGCAGTGACAGAGAGCGGGAACCTCTGGCTGCAGGATGCTTGGGAGTTAGCTAAAGCCAGCAGAAGTAGGGACGTTGTCTGGTTCCCACTCCAGGATGGGAACAGTAGGACAATGTAACAGAGGCCTCAGGAGCTCGTGGAAGCCCTTTATTGCAGGTTTTCAAAGGAAGCTGGGTAGCCACCTGCTCTGGATGGTTAAGGCTTGGTTTACAGAGTTAGGTCAACCTAATTATGACTGTCTCCACTAGAATGCGGATTCTGCCGAAGTCAGTGGCCTGCTCCACCAACATGACAACTCCATCTCCATGAGAGGCGTAGCGCTTATGTCGGTGTACTTAGGGTGATGCAGTGTCCGTGTAACACTGCGTTACTTACGTGGGCTGTCATTCTGTCGGCTCACAGCTGGAGCCCCCCCCCCCCAATTTTAACTAGTTACAATATATTTTCCTGTTTCAATGAAAACATGGAGCACTGTAGGGCCTTCTTACAGTATTAAACAGTAAATCACCATACACAACAATCCTTAATGTTACTGTACCCACTCCGGAATGGGGACCTTGCAGATATCAATGAATGTTAGGCGTTGGGTGATGGGTTCAGTCACAGAGACCCCCTTGGGGCTGTCACTTGATGTGCTGAGACTACCTCTGAGCCCGTTTTCCCTGCCAGCTTGGGACTTCAGAACCCTGTCTTGTTGAGCCAGATACACTAATCTGCTGCAACACAGACCCAGGGTCTGAACCACGTGCTCCAAACCTGCAGATTTAACTGAAAACAGCTTAAGAAGTGCTCCTGTCTCTAGCTCCCAATGGGATCCAAACCCCAAATGAATCCGCTTTACTCTGTATAAAGCTTATATAGGGTAAACTCATAAATTGTCCACCCTCTATAACACTGATAGAGAGATATGCACAGCTGTTTGCTCCCCCCGGTATTAATTACTTACTCTGGGTTAATTAATAAGCAAAAAGTGATTTTATTAAGTATAACAAGTAGGATTTAAGTGATTCCAAGTAATAACAGATGGAACAAAGCAAGTTACCAAGCAAAATAAAACAAAAACATGCAAGTCTAAGCCTAATACATTAAGAAACTATTTACAGATGAAATTTCACCCCCAGAGATGTTCCAATAAGCTTCTTTCACAGACTGGACTCCTTCCTAGTCTGAGTCAAGCAGTCACTCACACCCCCATAGTTACTGTCCTTTGTTGCAGTTTCTTTCAGGCATTTCTTTGGGGTGGGGAGGCCATCTCTTAAGCCAGCTGAAGACAAAATGGAGCGGCTTCCAGGGCCTTTTATATTCTCTCTTGTGGGCGGAAACCTCTTTGTTCTGTGCAAAGTCACAGCAACAAGATGAAGTTTGTAGCCACCTGGGCAAGTTACATATCTATAAATGATTCAGCTTTTTGCAGGCTGATGCCATTGTTTACATGTTAGTTTGAACATTCCCAGGAAAACTCACATGTGGATTGGCGTCTCCCAAAGTCCATTGTCAGTTAAGTGTTTCTTGATTGGGCACTTACTGAGAATAGGCCTTTCTCAAGAAGCTGACCAAATGCTTCACTGAGGCTACTTAGAATCAAAGACATTGAGAGCCAATATTTATAACTTCAAATACAAAAATGATACACACATACAGCCAGCATAATCATAACCAGTAAACTACAACCTTTCCATAGACACTGCACTTGATCTCTTCTGTACATGGTTGCAACCATGATCTATATGGTCACAGTTCATGTCAATAACGTCACAGGTTGTTTTTTTAAATTTTATTTTAAACATGTTTCTTTCACGCTTAAAGTTGTTGGTTTGTTTTGAAATAACCATAGTAAACACCCTACAAATATCCAGAGCTTTTAAATGTTTGATTGTTCTTACAGCAAATGCTTGTTTTATAAAAGTATGGTGGAGGTTTGTGAACCTTTGAAACATTTCAGTTTTGGGTTAGACCAGGGGTAGGCAACCTATAGCACGTGTGCCAAACGTGGCACGCGAGCTGATTTTCAGTGGCACTCACACTGCCCGGGTCCTGGCCACCACTCCGGGAGGCTCTGCATTTTAATTTAATTTTAAAAGAAGCTTCTTAGACATTTTAAAAACCTTATTTACTTTACATATAACAATAGTTTAGTTATATATTATAGACTTATAGAAAGAGAACTTCTAAAAACATTAAACTGTATTACTGGCACGTGAAACCTTAAATCAGAGTGAGTAAATGAAGACTAGGCACACCACTTCTGAAAGGTTGCTGACCCCTGGCTTGGACCCTTGTTTATTTTTGTAAATGTATTATTTTAAACTTTTAATGACTAAGTTGCTAGAAAGACTGACCCATAGCATTCAACCAACTCCTGGGGTTTTATTTAAACTGTCCAATAGCATTCTACGAAATCCTGAGGTTTTATTTCATTTGATATTTATCAGAGCTCACCATCCTCACCCACCCGCCTCCCTTATTGTGTGTGTGTACACCCATCAAACATCATTACTGATCACTAATATCTATAACTCTGATGGAAACAAGGGTGGATAATTACATCTAGACCTAGATCTACAGACTCGTTGAAGGCAACAGAGTCACCCCTGCTATTTCAGTGGGAATGTGGTTAAACCATCAGCTCAACAGGGTAAGGCAGCTCTATTGTACTCAAACACATCTCAAACACCCTTGTTTTATATAGAATATAGGAGCTTTTTTTAATTTATTTATTCCTTTATTTTAAACACATTTTTGTTGTTTTTGTGTCCTTCCTCCCCCAGCCCCGGAGTCTACTACACACATTTCAACTTTTTGCTGTAAATAGGTCTCTTTACACAAAGACATAATAGCTGGGTTCTCACAAACTATTTTGGTTTAAAAGACATACAGCCCCTTGAAAACAAACCAAGATGCTCCATCAAAACTTTTATCTTATTTAAGGGCCACACAGACCTTCTAACAGAAACACAGATAGTCACAAAGTTCTTTTCAATAGATACTTTTATTTACAGCTACCAAGATTTATATCGCATGTTTGTCCCCTCACCATTCTCTAACTTAATCCTTTTAGATTTCTTACAAATAGTTTTTTTCCTAAGCAGGGTTCTGTAACTTTTTGTGCGGACCAGACAGTCGATATAACACACTAAGCAGGTATCCTCTGGTTTGGTAATTTTCTTTAAAATACTGTCAGGATCTCAAGCACTTTGCATAGCATTTACCAAGGTCACCCCTTGTGCTAAATTTTCTTACATTAAGCACAGACATTGCATAGCATAACCTATGGCAATAACAGCATTTAATAAGCTTTCCAAACACAGGTTAGCACACAGGTCCCGGAGCTTGCAGTTTATATCCTCTGAAGTCCAAATCACAGTCATGGTGCTGTTGGCACCACAATCTTCCAAAACCTCCTCCCTAAGGCACTGATTAAGGACAGCATAAACAATAACACGTACAATAGAGAGCGTGACTTTTTATGCTCATGATGTGACACTGGCTCAGTTAGTTCTATGCTAAGGGTCCTCCTTAAATCCATATAGCCATCATCCTCGGTGTCCTTGTCAATGATTTGTACCAGCAAAAACAAGTTGGGCCCGACTCATCTTTGCTGTCTGATGCAACACTGTCCAGGGCCTCCGGGTCCTCTAGATAGGTGTTGAGAGGTTTTCAGAAAAGAAACAGATGTAAGCCCTTGCCAATTTTTTAGATTTACACAACCCCAGCTTGGTTCCTACCCCATTACACCCCATCCTCGACCGTCCCTTCTTAATCGTTCATTTAACTGCACAATGTCGTCTCTGTTCACCTTGTACATCGACGACTCCCATGAGTTGTGGACTCCTTCCTCCATGGGGGCGAATGATGAGAGGCCGTCACGCTCATCAGTCTTCCTCACAGGTGCTTGGGTTTCGGGCTCAGGTTCTGGTGTATCCATCAACGGCTGGGCCAAAGGGCTCCCCTCAGCCTCTCCCTCCTCCTTGGAACTGTCGCAGATGTAGTACTTTCTCTGCAGGTGGTTGAAGGCCCTCAAGCTAAAACAAAATCCAAAGTTCTCATGGGGGTGGTGAAGGAATCCATGTTTCCTCTCAGCGTTTCCATGATTTCTGAAACACACGTTCTTGAAATCAGATGGCCTTTTCTTTGTGGATCAGTATTGTTCCTGTGACTTTCCAGGCACCAGGACACTGAGTGGTTCAACACCCAAGTCCCTTTGTGGAGCTCATAGGCAGTGAGTTATATGGGCTCATGGTGCCCGGGCTCCAGCAATATTCAGGGCCCGGGAGCCCAGCTCCACCAATGTTCGGGGCCGGGTCTCTCCCCCCGCCCTGCCTGCCACCCCCCACACGCCTCCCCCGAGTGTCTCCCAGCCTCACTTGCTGCTCCCACTCGCCTTCCCGGGTCCCTGGAGCAGAGTGTCCTTGTCTCTCCCCTGCAGCTCCATGCTGCCTCCCTGCATCAACTGCCGTTGCAGGGTCCTAGTGCCCCCCCCCATCCACTACTGCCAGGGCAGGCTGACCCTGAGCCTGCCCTTCCCTCTCAGACCCTTTCATTTTCCAATGGGACCCTCCACCAGCACAGGGGGCCCCCCCACCTGCAGTCACCACTCCTGCCCCATGCTAGACAAGGG